TATCTATCTATCTATCTATCTATCTATCTATCTATCTATCTATCTATCTATCTATCTCTGTGTCTGTCTGTCTGTCTCTCTCTCTGTGTATATATATATATATATATATGTTAATATCAAAATTTCAGTCTTCATCTGGGAACACTGCCTATTGTCCAACCTCCAGAAACAGATGGGTTTCTTCTTTTGCACCCCCAGAATCCATGTCAGAAGGTCAGATGCAGCAACATGCTCCTGTAACCCCAGCTCCAGGGAGGCAGAGACAGGGAGATCCTGGGGCATGCTGGTGAGGTACCCTCTCCTAATAAGGGGAGGTTCCAGGTTTGGTGAAAGAAACTTTTTCAGCTTCCGTAGAGAGGCTCTCCTGCCTCAAAAAAACAAGTGCAGGTGTTGCGCAATACAGAAAAACCCTGGGCATTAACCTCAGCCTCCACGCATATTATACATGCACACCTAACCCCCCCCACACCACCACCACCACCACCACACACACTAAATGAACACATAGGTGTGTCTCTCGATAGTTGAAAGCTGAGCCAGCATTTCCCTGCCTTCCTTGCAACTCTGCTGAAACCTTGTGTTGTCCAACTAAAAAGATTAAGATCATTCATATTCCTGAATTCTGACTTATGGCTAGTAGAAGGCTGGAGAGGCTGCATCTGTCTGGGTTGGCTCTCTGAGTAAGCTGCACATTGTGTTGTCAGACTGTTGTGTCCTCCAGTCTCCATGGAGACAGCAAGCCCCGCCCACACACCTGTCAGCTGTCATGTTGCATCAGTGCTTTGCTTCATGTTGGTGGGCTTTCTCCAAAACCTCCATCTTGCTACACATGACCCCTCTTGAACAGCGCATCTGAAGCCTCCATCTTGCTATACATGACCCCTTCTTGTATAGTGCGTCTGAAACCTCCATCTTGCTACACATAATCCCTTCTTGTACAGTGCGTCTAAAACCTCCATCTTGCTACACATGACCCCTCTTGTACAGCGTGTCTTCCCAGACCTTCTGCCAACTCCGTCCATGCACACAATGGCACTCTCTCCGCAGCTGGGCACTTCCACTGAAATAGCGTTGGTTCGCTTCAGTCTGTCCTAATGGGAACGGTTGTGTCTGCCAAGGAAGGCTAGACTTGAGTTTAGACTGAATCAATGAGCAGCAAGACCCCTGTGCCCTGCCTTGCTGCCACACCCCAGCAACAGCAACTGAATCTCTAGCATGAGCTTTTCCACAACGGCTGTGCCAAGTTCTGAGCCAGGACTCCCAAAGGCTGCCTGGCTGCCAGAGCCTCCCTGATTCAACTGTTCTAGAGGACTGGCTGATAAATGAACCTCCTCCCTCCCTCCTTCGCCTCCTGCTGTTCCTCCTCCCCTCTCTGAGTATGTATGTGTGCATACATAAACGTTCATACAGGTGAATACATGTGTGTTCATACATACATGTGGGTATGTACCTGTACATACATATGAGCTCATGTGTGTTTCCTTCTTCGGGGGCTATCTTCCTTGACTTTTGAGACAGCATCTCGCATTGCGGGGATTAGTCTCTGCTCGCTGGCCTTCGGGGTCCCCCTGTCTTCAACTCCCCAGCACTGGGATTTAAAGCGAACAATACCACACTGGGCATTTCTACTGGAGATATAAATTCGAGTCTTCACATTTGTGCAGCAAACACATCACAGACTGAGTTGTCTCCCTAGCTCGGGAAACATTCTTATTTCAAAGTTCCAACGATAACGCTTGCATCCCTGTGAACGGGAGGCAGAGGAGGTTGCCTGATTGCCATGAAACAGCTTGCGGGTCTGGGCTGAGCCTAGTCGGCTCTGCTATAAGCTACCTCTAATCTCAAGCACTCCTGAGAGTTCCCTAACTGATAACTCACCTGGTTCCTCTGATTTTAGCCCCACCAAGTAGAGTCAGGTTCTGCAACTCTCAAGCAGGCTGCTTTAGTCTGGTGTCAGTTTGTAAACTCTGAAGTGTTCACTTTAGAAAAGTCCCCACAGGCAGTTCAATGGATAGGGACCATTGAGCCTGGGGTGCTGTGAGCTGGCAGGAGTGTTAGAAGTAGAGGGGACAGGCGTCTCTGGTCTCTCCAAGCAGGGGGCTCCAGGCAGCATCTAGAGATGACTGTCACCTCCTGTTTGTTAGTGCTCAGTGACTGGAAACTCTTACTGGGTGCCGAGCTGGCACCTCGGGGTCTTGAAATGACTAAGTTCTCAAGACTAGGTTTGACTCATAACTCCTGCCAGCCTCCAGGCCCCAGGTTTAGGTTTTTGATATCTTACCCGAGGGTCAAACCTCACTCAAACGGGACTCAAAGCTTCAAAGCCCCTCTGCCTCCCTCAGGAAGAAGCCAACCAAACTGAGCCTAGAGTGCGATGCTCACCCAAAGATGTGAGCCTTTGATTTTGTTCACATCCGGGGTGCAAGTCCACCTCACAGAGTTTATCCCTTGCCTAGCTGGTCCCTGGAGTTCTCCTTTGAGACTTGCCGTGACTGGTCTCCGTCGCCAGCACAGCATCCTCTCTTCTTTGTGTATTTTCGCGGAGGGGAGCAGACAGTGATACCAGAGCGATCAGTGCCTGCCTCTGTCTGTCACCATAAGTCCATGCCCATGGATGGAAATATTCAAAGCACACAACTGGAATGTCAAGAACTTGAACTTGGGGCTGGAGAGATCATCTAGTCTGTCAAGCATTTACCACACAAGCACAAGGCCCTGAGTTGGATTCCTCAAAACACACATGAAAAAGGCACGCGTGATGGCACACAGCTGTCATTCCAGTGTCGTGGGAGCTGAGGCAGGAGGATTCCCTACCTGGCACTGCCCAGCCTGGACTGGTGAACTACAGGACAATAAGAGACCCTGTCTCAAAAACTTAAATGAGGCTTGGGACGATGGCACAGTGGTTAAAGGGCTTGCATGAAGACCAGAGTTCAGGTCCCCAGAACCCATGTAAACGCCAGGTGAGTGTGGTGGCCTACCTGTAAAGCAAGCTACCCCGCGGCCATGCTCTAGGTTTGATTTAAAGGTCCAGTGAATAATGAGTGATTGAAATAATTTCCTGGACATCACATTTGGGCCTCCATATACACACATGTGCATACTCACAACCACAAGATCCGTGCCCTTACATGCATATCAAAATAAACATGCATAGAGCACGTGCACACACACACACAGAAAAAGAAAAAAATTGGGAGGGGGTCCTTTTTATTATTGTTTTTATTGAGCTATGCATTTTTCTCTGTTCCCCTCCCTTCCTCCCCTCTTCCGTGAATTTTTTTGGTTTTTCAAGACAGGGTTTTTCACTGTTTAAATCTGGCTGTCCTGGAACTCGCTTGTAGACCAGGCTGGCTTCAAACCCTCAGACTTAGATATCTGCCTGCCTCTGCCTTCTGAGTGTTGGGATTAAAGGCATGCACCACCACAACCTGATGAGAAAAAATTTAAAAAAAATAAGATAGATATCATCTGAGGAACACCTAAGGTTGACCTGTGACCCCCACATGCACACAAGTGCAAGTTCATACACACACACACAGAGAGAGAGAGAGAGAGAGAGAGAGAGAGAGAACTTGAGCTTAATCTTCATTGATTTCTAGTCCAAAGAAGCCAATGATTGACTAGACACAGACCACCAATCTGCAAATCACATTTAACATCATATAAGCAGGGAAAAGGAGGCTGCTCCGCAAACACACACTTGGTCCCAAACAGAGAAACAACTTCTAGGGAGATATCTCCCTATCCTCTGCTAAACTGTGTGCCGTGAGAACCAGGCAGGGCCGTGCGACCCAACCCAGCTGAGTGAAGAACAAAGCTAATCCATCATTACCACTCGGAAAGAACAAAAGGCCAAACAGAGCAAGAGGAGCCCAAAGGACAGGCTGCAGGGGAGAAGAAACGGTGAGCCAGGGTTCTAAAACGTGAGCATGCCTTATGAGAGGGTTTTCGGCTGGGCAACTATGCAGGGCAACCATGCAATCAGGAGTGCAGTCCCTGCAGCTTTGGTGGAACAAAGAAGACAAGGATGGGAGCTGTTGTCACTCGAGATGCAAGATGGAAGGCTTGAAATCCACATGGAGGTGGAAATGAAACGGGCAATTGAGGGATGGATAGGCTTGGTCTCCACTCAGCTGGAGGAGCCTCAGAGCTGCCAACTGTAGGTAGGCACACAGTAAAGAGAATGGTCAGCCCAAGGCCGAGGACGGTGAGGCTGTGCTCCTCTCACATGTGCACTTGAAGCTTCCTGGTTCCTCCGTTTCCTACCAAGCTCAGCAGGCACTGGTACCGCTGAGCGGCATGTGTTTAGGTCACAGACACTCTCTGGGTCCCATGTGTTGTTCCTCATTGCCACCCTAACCCTGGTCACAGAAGGATAAACTTTAGATAATGTCAGTGCGAGAAGAGGAGAACCAGTCAGCTGCTCTGAAGAACCCTTTGGGGCTGAGAACCTCAGTCAGCGGTACCGTGCTTACCTTGCTGGCAATAACCTAGATTCAATATCCAGGACTCACGTCACAGAGGCCAGGTATGCTGGTACATGCTCGTTGTTCCAGCACTGGGGGACAGAGACAGGCAGATCTCTGGGGGCTTGCTGACCAGCCAGCCTAGCTGGTGAGTCCAGAACAGTCTGAGACCTGCCTGTCTCAAAAGCTAAGGTGGACAGCTAAGAACTGCAATGAATGTTGTCCTTTGACCTCAACACACACACACACACACACACACACACAAGCATGCACGCACATGAGACATTTGAATTCACACCAACACAAAAAGCAGGTTATCATGTAAATGCTAAGTAGTTCAGAAGATTGGAAAGACGGCAAGTATTTTCCATACTAAATACAAGATCAACTTCAGAGCTATTTTGTAAAGTCTCGTTAAGCAAAAAAATAAAAGTTCCGTCATAAACGGGTGTGGTGGCTGTTGCTATCGCTTCATCGGTAAACACGTCAAGAATAGACAGCCGAACAACAAGCTAGGAGCATCCTAGCCCTGGGAGGGCAGCTGGCAGGTGCACAAGTGGAGGCCGAGGCCATCTCCAAAGAACTCAGCTCTTTCATGCCCTTTGTGAACAGACACAGTAATAATTAAACATCATTAAGAAGCTGTCGTCTAAACTCCAGGAGACAACAGACAGACTCTGACTGGAGACACCACGAGGGCTTAAAACTGGCTGATGATTGAATCAGACACGTCCTCCTGACACGTCCTCCCGACATGTCCTTCCAGGCCTCTCCTCCCGACACGCCCTCCCAGGTTCGCCTTTGGAACACTCACTCTCCACTGTGGGATGCTATTTTGAAAGCTGTAGAGAGAGAATAGGATTATGTCACCAAGGGGTGGCCTTGGAAGGTTTGCCCTGGTCTCTGGTTACAGGCTTCTCTCTCTGCTTCCTGGTTTGTTCTATTGGGGACATCCTTTGCCAAATGCTCCTGCTGTCAGGACAGAGCCAGGCTAACCCACCACGATGGACTGAAATCTCTCTATGACTTCTGCCAGACAAACCCTCCCTCCCTTAAGCTGCTTCTGTCTGAGATGTGGTTGACGGTGACACAAATGAATGTTACTAATCAGTTATACCTGGGATGGTGAGAAGGACTTGATTCTACGCCCCACGTGGGGTCCCCTGTCCCTGTGATCAAGGGCTGGGGCAGGCGTTCCGTTCGGAAAGTGCTTGCCTCACAAGCACAGACCCCCGTCTTTGATTCCCAGCACCACAGAATCCAGGTGTGCTGTGCACGGCTATTCTATCACCCAGGAGGTAGAGGTAGAGGATTAGGAGTTCAAGACTCTCACAAAGAAAGAGATATCTCCATTCTCCAGGGGAATGGAGAGAAAAGAATGAAAAGGCTCATTAGACAAACCACACAGCGCAGACACTTTCGTAAGTGACATAGTCGGCTATTGGCAGGTTCACAGGATCCAGTGCACCTGCTTTATCTGAGGCCCCCTAGTTCTAGGAGCTCTTAGTGTATGCTGTAGACTTCCAGCCTACCGAAGAGGCTTGGGACTGTGAGTCTCCCATTGCTCCCTAGTGGAACAGCATTCTAACCCTTCCAATAGACATACATGCCGTGGTCTGAAGCCCTCTGGATGTTTTGGATGTCGATGTCTGAAATCCGCCTCATTGCCAGGGATTCCAGACTTAAAGACATTAGAAGGAGGCCAATAGGATGAGGTCACACCTCTGAGAGCAAGTGCTCCTGACAGGATTTGCATCTCAGATTCTCTTTAGAACTAAACATCTCTGGCTGCAGCGACTTGTGGAGACTCCGGGTCCGTCACTTGCACCACGTGTGGAGGTTAATCACAAGAGCCATGCCTTCATCCCAGCCCCGCTTTGAAAAACTCACCCAGCCTCAGGATGCTCCTCCTGGAGCCAGGCTGCAGCCTCCAGTTCTGTCCACTGGGGCTGCGATGAGTCAGTCTCTCCGAAGCTCGTGAGCGCTCAGAGCTGATGGATTACTGGTGTCCTCAAGCGATGAGACTGTAATGGTTCCCGGAAGCAGGGGTCATGAACCTAGAAGATATTTTTAAAATGTATTGGAGAAGGACTGGGAGATGGCTCTGTCAGTAAACTGTCTGCTATGTGAGCTCAAAGACCAGCACCCACATAGAAAAACAAGCTCTCCCCCTATAATCCCAGCCCCAAGGAGCTGGAGACAGGCTCACTGACCAATCACTTTAGTCAAATCAGTGATTCCAGGCCAGTGAGAGACCATGTCCTAAAAATAAGGTAGAGAATGACTAAGGCAGGCGTCTGATGTCAACCTCTGGTCTCCATGCATGGATCACACACATACATACACATACATACAACATACACACATACATACACACAGCAGAGATACACACACATACATACAAACACATACATACATACATACATACATACAAACACGCACGCACACACACAGTAAATTAGAGGACCATTTCAAGATCTATGTAGAGACTGAGGAGAGAAATGCTGATAAATAATTAAAACCATTATATTTTATCCCTTCCAAGGATGTCAAACTCCATCCCAATATCCTCAAATAACTTTTACTTAGAAAGGGAAATTCTTGTTCTAGCTTTAGAAAAGAATAAAATGCCCTAGAAATCCAAAGGTCTCTCAAACCTCAGCAGACAGGCCTTTGTGGATCACCACAGCCTCTTCACAGCTTCCATGTGGCTCAGGAGCTGGCAGAGGTCACACCCTGCATTGGCTGAGATGTTCCCTGGGATGGCACGCTATGTGACAGGAGATATGGGCAGGAGAAACAGAAATACGGTGCCATCCTGCATGCACAGCGATCCAATCAAAAGCAGTATAAAAACATCAACAGGAATGTTCTAGACAGTATGTTTGCTTTACATTTATTTATTATGTCAGGGTACAGGGAGCGTGCCATGGCATCTGTGTGGAGCTGGTTCTCTCCTTCTTCCACAAGGCTCCCAGGGATCAAACTCGGGCCATCGGGCTTAGCACCAAGCACCTTTACCCACTGAGCCATTGATGGTTAGCCCACAATCGTGTGTTTTAAGATGCATATCATTCTTGGGGGCATGACGAAAACCTACACGGCCCTATTATTTCCTGCCTGTGATGAGAATCATCTCTCTTCCCAGCTTCTCCATACTGTGTAGCTATTCTTGGTCATGACGTCAATTGTCAGGCGACTGCAATTCTTGTGTCCTGTAACCCTGGTTTTATTTAACAGTGACCCTTAGTGCAAGGGAGAAGATGCTGCTAATTCCACCTGTTAAAAACAAGCCATAGAATGCTTTCTTGGGTGAAAAAGAAAGTTCATGAAAATATAATATGACATAGACTCAAACCTTCACCATAGCGGCATGCCTATCAGTAGAAAATCAGATAACATGGGGTCTGATATGTCTCATATGACCACTGGGGTCTATAACACATCCCTTGATAATAGATGGGGAGTTATCTTATTGTAGATGAATGACTTACATTACCAGAGGTTGATGGTGTGGGTCCCCGGAGTCCCTAGGAGCCACTTTTGTGGACCGACAGAGTCTCTAGAGAGGGGCCCAGGTCCAGGTCATCATTTCAGCTAGATCATCCCTGACTGCCTCTTCTTAAACTGTAGTCCAACTTACTGCTTCAAGTCATTAAGAAATGAGTTCCAAGGCAACAAAGGACCTTCTCAAAGGTCAGAATGAAGAGAGGTAGAAAGTCAGATATTCCACTTACCCGGGAGGGTGGGGGGAGGGAAGACTTGAGGAGCAAGGGGCTGGGGAGTTGGCTCATTTGGTAATGTGCCTGGCCAGTCCCTCTCTCGCCCTGACCATAAATTTTGAGTTGACTCCCTCATAATGCTCAGATCTCAAAGAGAAATACGGCCATAGTCTCACATCCCTGGAATAGGCAGGCAGGAGAGAGAGAGGGACATCATTCTTGGAAGTAGGTCAAGCAAGGGAAATGGCTTGGAAAATCACCTCGTGTTTGCCTTCAGAGGCTGAAAAACATGGAAAGAAATTCCCAAAGCAAGAAGGTGCACATCTGTCTCTGTCAGGCCTTACCAACAGCCTACCTACTCAGTCATGTGGAATGATCCAGAGAGTCATGGTCCCTGATGGAGGAAGAACAAGGCCACCCCACCTGACTCCTCCTCTCTGCAGGTGCTCATAAAGACATGTATGACTGTACATCATTCCTCAAATGATCCTGGAAGTCTCATAGGTGCTACTTCAACTCTTCTGGGGCTTTCAGAATAATGCCTCAGGCTAGTTACCTTCCGGAAAGGCATAAAGGGAGACCACTTGCAGCCTGGCAGGTGCCTTGGCCTGTGGCGTTCGCACTGAGCACCCCCTCCAGCCTGGAAGCTTCCTTTCTGGGCTCCACAGTCTTGGCTGCTCCCTTCCTTTGTCTCCAGGCTCTGATCGCTGGGCAGTGTGCCTATTAATCTCAGATGGGATGAAGTCTCTGCCACTTCCATTTGAAAAAGCAACAGCCTTTGCCTTTTCCATTTGATTCAACTGCATGAAATATTTATGAGTGCCCGGGCACTTCTGTGCCCCTCTCTCCCATCGATTCTCAGTCGCGCTAAGTGTAGACTTGGAGGAAAACACTTCCCGTCCATCAGGGACAGGCCAGAGATGACAACACCAAGGGGCTCAGCTGCTTCCTGTCCTCTGGGTAAGCGGCAATGCTCTGGTGTACAGGTGAAGAAGCTGATGTGGATTTCTGAGCCTCGGCAGTCACTCTACAGAGGGCAAGATCTTGCGGTTGGGGATTCTAGAGCTTTTATTCCCCCTCCCCCATACACACACCTTATTTTCTCCCATTGGGAGGTCTTTGGAATTTTTGCTATTGGTTCTGGTGGTTTGCTTTGTTTGTTTGTTTTGTTTTTGAGACGTAATCTCAACAGGCTGCCTTTAAACTCATTGTGTAGCTGAAGATGTCCTTGAACTCCTAACCTTCCTGCCTTCACCTTCTGAGGGCTTAGATGACAAGTCTGAACCACCATACCAGGTTTATATGGCCGTGGGGACTGAATCCAGAGCTTTGTACTTTTGGGGCAAGCACTCTATCAACTGAACTGTGTATCTTTAGGGTCTCCTTGGGGGCTTCAGGAACCACACTAAGGTGATTGAGAATGAACTGGTCTAAGAAGCCTGACAGAGGTGCCCAGAACCGTGTGGTTTCTACAGGGCTAACTGCCCCACACAGCAGTCTCAGAAGGACTGGGTTTTTCAGGTTATTGTTCCCAGGGCTTACCAAAGGATTTTATTCTGTCTCTCCAAAGGAACTCCTACCATCCCCTGGCCAGTTTCTCTTCAGTGCTTCCAAGCTCAGCATTGCAATCCTTCTAAATTCAGATGTAGGCACAGAAACTAGCAGAAATGATGTAAGGTGTGCGGACAGGAACTGATCATGGGAAAGATTCAGCTCTCACAGGGTTGGACCCTTTTGAGATTGTCAATTGTCAATTGTCACATTGAGATGTGACAATGGCATCTGCAAAGTTCATGCTCAAGAAATGCGCAATTGGATTATTTAAAAAATATATTATGTTTGGAGTAAATTCTCAATTTCATGTCAATCTGCATTCATGCATTCATGGTCACCCTGGGCCACATGTGGACTTTGGACCCTGCCTTGAACACATTTAATGCCTCCCAGGCTGTGCTAGAGGACAAGGCTAATAGTCACCTCCCAGGGTACTAGGAAGGTTGCACACCTAATGTATGTAGAACACATAACCAGGACCCAGAAATTGGTAAGAGTCTTAGAATTATCACTGCCATGATAAAACACCACGACCCAAAGTAACCTGGGGAGGAAAGGGTTTATTAGGCGTACACCCACAGCACTGTTTGTCATTGAAGGAAATTGGGGCAGGAGCTCAGACAGACAGGAGTTGGTGCAGAGTCCATGAAGGAGTGCTGCTTATTGGCTTGCTCATCATGGCTTGCTCAGCCTGCTTTCTTACAGAATCTAGGACCACAGCCCAGGGATGGCACCACCTACAATGGGTTGGGCCCTTCTCCAACAAACACAAAGTAAGAAAACACCTTACAGGCTTGCCTACAGCTGGAGCTTTTGGAGGCATTTTGTTTTTCAGCTGAAACTCCCCACTCCCCACTTCTGATGACTCTAGATTGTGTTAAGTTGACATAAAACTAGCCGGCACATTAAGTGCCTAGTAAATATTAATTATTATTGTTAGTGACATATTGTTGGTAACTAAGTGTTATCAACTTAGTTACCTGAAAGACTCCAGGGTCAGCAGGGAAGTGTCACTTCCAAGGAATTAGAACAATTGTTAACCCACCTAGTAGAAATATTATCAGATATGATATTGTAAGAAGACCTAGGTAGATAGCTCAGTTGATCTAAGTTTGATCCCCAGAACCCAAATTAAAAAAAAAAAGGAAAAAAAGAGAGAGAGAGAGAAATGGTAGTGTTTACTTGTAATCCCAGATCTGGGGAGGAAAATACTGGAGAATCCCCCAAGGTTTGCTTGGCAGTCAGCCTAGTCTAATCAGAAAGTCCCAGGCCAGTGAAAGACCCTGTCTCAGTGGAAGCACCTAAGGAACAACACCCAAGACTGTACACACACACACACACACACACACACACACACACACACACACGCACACGCACGCATGCGCACACACACACACATGCATGCACACATGCACACATGCAGATCACGAGATATTACAAGATCAGTGCAGTAGATGACACATAGTACTTACCCATAATACAAAGTCAGAATTATGAGTCAATACCCTAAACCAGAAAGTTTTTGGAATGGACTGAACTTCTAGAAACAGCACCACGAGACTGTCAGGACGCCACCTGATGGTTTTGCTGAGGTTAAAGGAAAAGTGTGTTTGGACAAGTGGCCCCCTGGAAAGACTCCAGGGCCAGCGGTAGAACGTTACCTCCTCTGACCACAACCAAGCAAAGCCAACAAGAGAAAACGCTGCTGCTGGACTGGAAAATGGCTAAGTTCCCACAGCCCCTTGCTGTACCAAGGGAGGCAGGCTGGGGTGCAGCAGAGAACACACAAGACTACCTCTGAGCCAGATGTGGTCAGCTTGGCAAGGGGGCCTGGTTCAGCTCTGAAGTTATTTTAGGTGGCAATAACAGAAGAGGTTGGTTTGAGGTTGTTCGGTTATGTGGCCCTCCCTGCACACGTACCCTCAAAATGCAGAATCTGGATGAGATAAAATAAATGCTCAAGCCCCCACGGCTCACCTGGCATGGTCCCCCAAAAGTGCATAAGCAAGCAGGCCACCCTAGTGTCTTCTGAGCTAACGTGCGGCCCTTCGCACTCCGGGTGTTCTCAGGGAGACCTGAGCTGTACATTTTCTTTGCCCATGTGGAAACGACTGAGCAAGCACTCCTGTTGAATACAGCTATGCTTACCCAGCCAGCACCAGAGCACAGCTACAGTGGAATGCCTTACATGCAGCTGGCACTTTGTCCATCTGTTTACGTTTAAAAAGGCATTCGCTGACTTTAGGAATCCCAGTACCCATGGCCCAGAACGCATAAGCCATTCTATGAGGGTAGAAACGAAAACCAATTGAAAAACCGCTTGTCCTGGGTGGCTCAGTGAACTTAGGAGACCTAGAAATGTCTTGGTGGAACATCCAGTCCGACAGAGGAGGGTCTTCAGGGACTCTCACCACAGTACCACCCCGGCTATGGGCTACCTTCCCCACTCCACCCTAAGGTCCCTGGAGTGAGAAGAGACAGGCTGGATTCTTTCGACGTTCCCCGCATAGAGTCTGATGTCAGAATCTCAAGTTGTAGGTGAGCTCTACACCGTGGCGTGGTGGATGTATGAGTCTCCACCGTGCTTAGACCAAAGCTTGCTTATATACATTCACCAGAACTTGTCCTGTTTGTTTTTTTATAGAATTCATCCTAATCTCTGTGAGGAGATATCTCATGGCAGGTTTGGGTGTTTGCATGGGTTTTGTGTTTGTTGTTTTGGTATCTATGGGGAGGAGGTGTACACACTTACGGAGGTCAGAGGCCAACCTTGGGTGTCTTTTCTCAGACACTATCCACCGTTTTGTTCTGGGTTTTTTGTTTTGTTTTGTTTTGTTTTTTGTGACAGGATCTCTGACTGGTCTGGACCTCACTGAATAGGTTAAGCTAGCTGGCCAGTGAACAACAGAGATCTGCCTGTCTCTACCATCTTCGTTCTGGGATTATGGGGGTGTATGTGGACCATGTCTAACTTTTTAAGTGAGTTTTGAGGATTGAGTCCATGCTTGCAAGGTAAGTACCAACTGAGCAATTACCCCAATGCTCATAGTGGTCTTGGCTTGCATTTTCTGTACTAATGAACGGTGCCTAGGACATCTTTTCCTTACCTCTTGGCCATTTGTATGTCAGCAGAGAAATGAGAACCTTGTGACCAGATGGAGATGTGAACACTGAATGCTAAAACTCTACTTACAGGGAGAAATGGTGTGCTGCACCTTCAAACTCTGTCGAGAAGGCAGTTCTCAGGATGAGTCATGTCACCACCGAGGCAGGGGGCACAAAGGAACAAAGCGACCTCTGGGAGACGCTGGATGTGTGTCACCTCGATGGTGATGATGGCCTTGCTGATGCTTTCAGCCATTCACTGTCACTGATTTGCCCATATAAGATACATGCAGCTTTGTAAATCCGTGATAGTTCCACAAAGATGTTGGAAATAAGACAAGCCAAAAGTAATCTTGTGCTGTTTTAAAAAATGTAAAAGCAAGGAGAGGGCTGGGAGGACACTGAAGTTGATCATTTTTTTTCTTTCCAACCAAAAGGATCCAGCCTCAATACTCAGCAGCCATGTGAAAGCCAGGGCTGAAGCGGCATGCTTATAAGACCAATGTTGGAGGCTTAGACACAAGGATGCCTGGGGTTTGATGGCCAACTAACCTAGATGACTTGATGAGTTCCAGGCCAGTGACACACCCTGCCTCAAAAAAAAAAAAAGAGGAGGAATGAAAGGCATCTAAGGATGACCTCTGTCCTTTATTACACACACGCACACAAATACACAGGTGTACATGCGTACACGGATGTATATACTGAGAGAGAAGTGCATACCAAGCACAAAGTCAGGTGTCTAGCCACCCTGAAGCTCCCTGTGGAAGAAGACATGTGCACGGATGTGTGAGCACTGCAGAGATGCCCGACATGCCCCCGGGCATGTGACTCATGGGTGAAGAAATCAGTTCACGATCACAGCCCTGCAGCGTAGCTTGAGGGTGTTAAGCTCGCTTGTTGAGTCATCCCAATTAAGAGCAATCGAAAAGGCATTTCTGCCATACTGTTTGAACTCCAGAGCTCAGAATCCGTGGGCAGAGACCGTGGAGATACACTACAAGGTTTGGGAACAATCCAACAACAAACAGTAGACACAAAGTGTGCATCCTTTAAGATCCAAGGCGGAACAGCCTGCACTATCCCGGGCTGCATCCAGCACAGCTTGGTACTTGGAAAACTGACTAGGAGTAGCAAGGGAATGAAGAAAGGGCAGACACACAGACATGTACCCAATGAAGCTAGGGTCAGGCGCAGTTCTCTCACTGCTACCGCTGCCTCTGGTACTGCAACCCAGAGCCTTGGTATGTTTGTTAGGTTCAGCACAGAGGGAGGGGTGAGCTCGCCTCAGAAGGAGGTCTGTGCACTTGAGCAGTCTCGGACTGTAAACATCCCTGAGGAGGAAGTTACCATGGCTAGTCTTTGCAGATGTTGATCAATTGTTCATAAACACTCACCCGTATACCGACTCCCAAGTAAAGCTTGCCGTTCCTCTTGGGCCTGGCCCGTATGCGTAATGACTTGGCCAGTTTACTGCACATCAGTTGGCCTTGGGAGTCCTTGACAGGTTGTGCCCATATCAAAATAAATATTTACTCAGGGCTTCCTCTGTTCCCTACAACCCGACCCTTCTCCTGGATGACAGTTTCCTCATGGAGGAAGCTGATTTCAAAATAACCTACATCCAGAGGTTGAAGATGGCTCAGCAGGCAAACATGTCCTGCATAAGCACATGAATCTGAGTTCAGAGCTAGTCATGGAAGCAACTACCTAGACCCCCCAGAGCTGGGAAGGCAGAGGCAGAAGGAATTCTAGGGCTCACTAGCCAGTCAACATGGCCTAACCAACAAGCTCCTGGTTCAGTGAGATACCCTGTCTCAAAAGATAAGTGGAGAAAATAAATAATATATAGGGTAGAAAACAACAAAAGAAGGCTCCCGACATCAACCCTGACCACACATACACACACACACACACACACACACACACACACACACACACACACATACACATACACCACGCTCCTCTTCAATTGCAAACATAACTTTTTAAAATTTACATAAGGGAGAAAGCTAGCACCTGCCTCCCACGCTTTATTTACCACAGGCCTTCAGATTCTGAAAGATACTGAGTGAGGACCTTCTAGGCTTCTTCTTTGGGCCGAATACTCTGAATGTTCACATATTTGTCTTTTCTTCCTAGCATGTTCTGCTTGTTTCTCCCTACAAACAGAGGCCCATGGCTTCGGGTGTGGCATAAAGCCTAAGGATGAGATGAGAAGCTTCCACCAACGTGACAGTCCCTTTGGTCTCTGAGATCTCTCTGGACTGTGTCGCTCTGGGTTCCACGGCACACAGTGAGGCAGTAGGGGCGTCTGTCCAAGCAGTGGGGGCGTCTGTCCAAGCTGAGCTCCTCTCCCAGGATCACCTTTACTAAGGCAGAGCGAAGACTACAGATGAAACCCTCCCGTTAGCCTGAATACACGCACAGGGCAGAAAGAAAACTGGGAAGAGTAAGCTCAGCTGACAGCCTTGAAGAGTGAGTTATTTTCCCTTCAATGTTCCTTGATTATAATTTCACCATTTCAATAAACAAAATCAGAACAATTTTAGAAAAGAAATAGTGGGTCTTTATAAAGTGTTCGGATAGTGTAGAAATATTTTTGAAGTATATAATTTTAAGCATAAATAACGCAGATTGTAGGCACAACAGAAAACTACACAGAGAATTTTCTACTCACTGCTGTCATTGACTTTAATTCCTTTAGTTTCAGGGGAAAAAAATGGTAGGAAATTTGCTGTGGTCAGAATCAGATGTGAGAATGTGCTGAGCAGCTCCGTCACAGTGTAAAGCAGTGTGCTTACGTGGAACTCAGGTGTGTCCTGCTGCACGAATAATGTGAGAATTGGACCCAAAATACACCTCAGGGTTTTTGTGAACACTGTGGAGGTGTCTTCGTAAAAGTCCCTTGAGAGACTCGGTTCTAGCCTTGCCTCACCTGATAGCAAGAATCACAACCTGTGTGAAACAGGGACAAGACAGCAGTGATGGACCCTTTAACTCCAGTACCCCAGAGGCAGAGGCAGGCCTGTGAGCTGCAGTACAGTCTGCTCTACAGATCAAGTTCCAGGACAGCCAACCTAAGCTCCACAGAGCAACCCCGTCTCGAAAAACAAACAACAAAGCAGGAACAGGGCTGACTGAGATGGTTCTGACTGTAAAGTGCAAGCCTTAAAGTCTGAGTTCAGATCAGCACAATAAATCAAAAGCTGGCACAGCAGAAGGTGGAGTCTGGAGGGTCCCTGGAGCCCACTGGTCAGATAGTGTAGCTGAATTCAGGGAGCCAAATGCTCAGTCTAAGACAAGCATTTGTTCTCACACGTGCATGCGTAAGGAGCTCAGAGAGTTATCCCGTCCAGGGCTTTGTCCCACGGTGATGCAGGATCCTAAGCTCTCCCGATTGCACATTGCATCACGCAGCAGCACAATCTATGGAAAGCCGTGCCTTTCGTCACGGGCCTCAGTATGCAAGCTGAGAGAAGAGACAGCACTGTCTCCTGACTGCTCTGTGTTTGGCATTTGATGGTGGCTTCATATAAAACAACTAAAGAGATGGAATCCAAGGCACCATCTGTATGTTGGGTCATGTGTGCAGTGTGTGTGTATATGCACGTGTCCACATGCATGCGCACAACATGTATGGGTGCACACATACATCACATACATGGAGGTCAGAGGACATCATGCATTTTTCTCAATCACTCTTCACTTTTCTTTTGAAGATAGAGTAGTCTCTGCACCCAGAGCTCAACAATGTGATTAGTCAGCCCTTGGGATCATCTTCCTGTCTTTTCGCTGGCACTGGTAGTATAGGTTTAAACCATTGTGTCTGGCTTTTTACATGCATGCTGAAGCTGGAATTCAAATCTTCATGCTTATACTAAGTGCAAACACTTTACCCGCTGAGCCGACTCCCCAGCCCCCAAGGTACCATTTTGGATTATAGAAACTCGTACAATGGCAGAGACATTTGGGCCCAATGATTGTTCAGTGGTCTTTGGATCACTGAGAGTGACTTAAAAATGTATCAGAGACAAGATCCACACGGCCCATCAGTATCAACATCCATCTATG